GCTCGTTCACCTTCCGCAACTTAAGCAAACGGAAGGACGCGGGACACGGTCGATCGATGATTCGTCAATTGAAACACTTGAAACATTTTCCCCGAGAATCTCGATCTCTTTTCATCGTGCCGTATAAACGTCGCGGCATAAATCTTCCAGCGACTTTTTGCCGCGCATTTGAGCGAACTTTCGTAATAAGAATCTTTTTTTATCTCCAATGGTTTCTCCGATCGAGGAGGAGGAAGGAGGAAGAGAGCCACGGGGGAGGGTCCGCCAACGTTCCGCGTTCGAGGAACGAAGACGGAGAGACTAAGAGGCGTTCAGCGCCCCATGAAACTTTGATCGAGTCGATCCACGGGGACTCGGGGAGAGGTGGGTGAGGAAGAGGGAGATGGGAGGGGGAGGAAAAAAATCACCCGTTCCGAGATACGAATGGCGAGCGGAGTTCGCGGCGAGCGCGAAAGTGTGCCGTCGGTCGTTACGAAGCACGGAGGTGTGCGCTCACGCACGCGTACGCTTAAAAGCTCGATCCTCGGCGCGAGCGATGGGGGGAGGGGGCGCCACCGCGGGGACGCCGGCACATGGAAAGAGAAAGAGAGAGAGAGAGAGAGAGAGAGAGAGAGAGAAAGCGGTAAAATTCGTAGTTCGCCGAATTTATATGCGATTCCGCCGCCGTATTCCGCCGATTTGCGAGTCTCCCGAGTCCTTTCTCGCCCGCGGCTGTATCGCGCGCGAGCCGCCTGACTACAGATATAAATATAGAACATTGTCCCTATATTGATCCCCCCACGGTTATCCCCTTATCTCTCTCGCAGGACTTACATATAGAATAAAAAAAAAAATATATATATATATACACACATACACACACAAATCGATAACTTTGTCAACCTTGTACACATTTCCGCTGTTTCAAACAATGTAGGAAAACAGCGCCTACGAAAGTTTCGTAGTTCTGTTGGCCTCAAAGGAGACGTGACGTAGTGATTCTTCCGCAAGCGGAAGTATGCAGGGAATTTCAAGGTCAGCTGAAACTTTTTAAGTAGGATTTGTCGTATGATTTTCTCCTGACACTAATCAATTCCTCTGCATTGTTCTGCGTGTATGAAGAAAACATCTAGGAAAGTAATCACTTTTCGATAATTTTGCCCTCGCTACTCTTTCGTACGCAGAACGACCGGAGGAGTGGACTTGTGTAAAAGAGAAGGCTGTATGAGAATCCATTAAAACAATTGAAGGCGACCATGAAGTATCCTACATGCGAGAAAATCGCATGTCACTGCATTGCGTCCCTCTCGAAACCATACAATTTTCGTAGACAATATTTTTCTGCGTTGTTTGGCATAGCGGAAACGGCGGAACTGGACAGAGTTATTACCCCACCCTGTATGTACAGATCTATGGATATGTACGTGTGCATACGTTAGGATTTATAATTTATCACGTTAAACGCGACAAGTCCAGACATGATGTTTTATCGACATTCTCTTTCTGCTCCCGGTGATAAATTTGACCTTTCCGACTGATAAAAATTGCAAATTCGGCTGCGCGAGTTCGGGCGCACCGCGAATAGAAGTCGAGCGATATTAATTTAATGCGCCCCGGTGTGCTCTTTCTCGATTCTCCTAATTAAATGCGATATAGCGAGTCACAGCGATTGGACATTCGTTGGAACACGCTGAAAAGTGTGACAATTTGGCAAGCGGACGTCGATAAGAATACTCGACTTACGATCGTGTAGCTTGTACAAAGTGAATCGCGGATTTGCAAAAAGTGAGAACGAGGGTGAGCACGTGTAGCCGACGGTGCGTGTTAGCGGCGGCGTTTGATACGATTTCCTTTTTTATCTTTTTTTTTTTTTTTTGTTCTGGCGGCGCCCTTTTACCGGCGTTGCTGTTAGAATTAAGTTAATCCAGCGTTCCCTCGCTCTCTCTCTCTGTCTGTCTCTCTTTAACTCTCTCTTTCGCACGACGTCTATAAAAGTAGATTCCCCTAGCCGTAATCCCACGAGCGTAAAAGTTGCTCTTACCGCCGCGACATTATTACGTAGACACACAGTGCGAAATTCTCATATAGATGGTCTCTCTCTCTCTCTCTCTCTCTCTCTTTCCCTTTCTCTCTCATACTCGGGCGAGCAATTTAATCGGGGGTGGGCCGGCTGCTCCAAGTGGGTGCGACGGCGGACGAACGCGCTTTTAAAGGGTCCGCGCGCGCAAATTGTGCACAGAGTATACTTATTGTTGTTTCATTCACGCCCGAGGCCCCGGCCGACAGAGAATCGAATTACAATCGCTCGTAGATTAATATTCAATTACACGTCTATCTCGTCCGCGCGACGCGGAAAACTCGCCGTCGGCGTTACTGGCGCCCGAGATCGACTCGAGATCCTTTCTTTCCGCGCGACAGCTGCCTCGTCGAACAGGACCCGAATGAGACAGAGACAAAGTCAGACAGAGAGAGAGAGAGAGAGAGAGAGAGAGAGACAAAGTCAGAGAGAGAGAGAGAAAGAGAGAGAGAGAGAGAGAATGAAAGGCAAGAGAGGTCACGAGAGACCTCTCAGCCCGGACGACTCTCTGTCAGCGAAATAGCAAGATCCCGTGCGTTTAATCGTTACGCTTTTTCGCGTCGGGCAAACGCAATTTCGTTGCATCTCGGCATGTCGCGAATTCAAAGGGACAACACACGCAGCGGGCGGGACGTCGGGCGGCACAAAGAAGACTCACCGTTTCGTTGCTTCCAGGTCTATTATGTGACCGTTCCTTTTCCAATGGAGAGTCGGTTCCGGATGGCCGCGAGGCGGCCCGCACTCCAGTAGCGCGGTCTCCCCGGCGGCGACCCTCGTGTTCTGCGGCTCGGCGCGAAACTCGTCTCGCAGCACTGCAACAGACAAGCCGGCGATGCGCCATTGTATTTACGGAAGGTAACGTTGTTTGCGTTCCCGTAACATCGCATTTGCTGCTCATGAGCTTGACGATACTTTTTCCGCGCGCGCGTCATTACGACACAGCTGGGGCGAGAGAACCAGGGCATTCGTACTTTTTTAAAAACGACGGAAGTAGGCCACTTGAGCTTTTTTATTTTTTATCGAATTACCTGGCGTTTTAACGGCTGTCCGCTGAACGCGCGGCACGTAGAAAAACGGGATTGCCAAAACTCTGTTGTAACGAGTTTAAAACGGGACGCGATTGCAAGGAAGAAGAGGGAAAAAGGACGGGAATATATCCTTCTCTGGAAAGCCGAGACAGCGTCTCATTACCCCAGTTGTGTGCTTAACGCGAATAGTTCTTTTCTAAGAGCCCGAATAAATCTTTCCTAAAATCGGTGTAAGCTCAATCTCGCGTTTAGCAATGATCGTCTCGCAAAACGCATCCAGAACGGAAAAGAATTCCTCAGAATTATTCAGAGGTTTTTCAGAGGCGGAAGAATGAGGATATATTACACATTTATCTGTTTTATCGCGGGGAAAATATTTCCAAAGTTCCGCCCTCATCCTGTGAGCGCTCCGTAAATTTGCGTATGAAAAGAACAGGTACTATTCATCTTCGTGAGAATATCGAGGCTAACGAATAAACGATATACACACATGTATACATATTCACGAGGTCGGATTCCAGCTATTAACAAAGAAGTGCGAGTTGATGACAAAATATGCGTTCTACATCGGATATACAGAGTTTCAATAAAGGCCTCATATTTTCTAAGTCAAAATGCACCAGTCTTTCCAAGCGTTCGTGTTTAGATGTGCGTGCATTACGACTGTTGATTATTTAGTCGATCCGTCATTTTGTGCCGTCCGTGTTTAACATGTATAACATAATATAATTGTTACGTCATATTATGTAACATAATTATCACATTGCATTAAAACGCATATCATATATCACGATATTATATCGTATCATCATATACCGATAAAGATTAACAAGTTCAAGCCTAGTAAATGCTAATTTTGTACACTAAGCTTCACTGAAGTTTAGTGCATTAGCGAGTTAGGATTATACTCGAAGTGACACGCGGAGGACGCATACCACGAGAGCTCGAAGCCCACCGCGTGCCGCAAAGGAGAAGCTACGAATTGAAATTCGAGACAAACGCGGAGGGTAAGGTAACGGCAGAGAGAAAGAGAAAGAAGGAGAGACACAGAAGATGGGGTGCTTTCATAGATGGCAAGGACGGTTTGAAAAACTGTGGGTCGCTATCTCGGGATTCCGAGACCCCTAACGATTCCGACGTGAATCAAATGTAACGCAATTTCTCAGAGAACGAGGGAGGGATAAAGGGTCGTGGTCGTCGTCGTCGTCGTCGTCGTCGTCGTCGTCGTCGTCGTCCTCGTCGTTGTCGTCGTTGCCGTCGCCGTCGACTCGGGTCCAGTTTTCAACCCCTTTCGTCGTGTGGCAGTAGCACTCTGTAAACTTTCTCCGGGTCGACGCGTAAGGTCGGGACCCTTGCCTTCCTTTCGTTCGCTTGCTCTCTTCCAGTTCTACGCATACACACACACATACACACATACATATATATATCCCACGACTCGTATATACCGAATTTACGTGAATCCCATATCTAAGCGCGCGGGCGGACGGGCGCTCACGCTTGGCAACGTGAAAAATGAGGACCGCGTCCCCGTGGGCCAGGTATACGTCACGTAAATAGGTACACGGTGCATACGGAATCAGGATTGGGATCAGGATCAACGCACCGCCCTTTATAACCGGAGGTCTCTGGATTATTCGAGGGTTCCCGCGCACTGTCTCAATCCTCAAAGAGAAACAGAGCGATCGCGCGATTCCGAATTTCATTTCGCCACTATAAATCGTCCTAGTAAGAATAAATCCCTCCCTCCTTTCTTCTCTCTCTCTCTCTCTCGCTCTTTTTCTCTCTTTCTCTTCCAGAAACGGTGCGATTGTCGCGCGGTTTTGCGAAAAATGCGCCACGGAATCGTCCCAATTAACTGTAGTGAGCAACTTTTTCGCGAAGACTAGAGTTCCTCTAGTCAGAGCTAGAACAAAGCATGATGATTCCTGATTAGTCTGTCCGCCATTTTCAGGGCTGACGTAAGAGAGAGTGAGAGGGAAACTCTAATAGAAGTGAGCTCTAAGACTGAAATGACGAAACACGCTGTCACTTCTCTCTCTCTCACTCATTCATTCATCTCCTCCCTACAAATGGCGGACGATGTCTTAACTCCGACTTGAGGAACTCCAGCGAAGATACATCTCTTTCCGGTGGATTATCGCCGGACGAAGACGACGAGAGAGAGAGAGAGAGAGAGAGAGAGAAGAAGAGAGGGAGAAAAAGAAAAGAGCGGTCAATCTCGATCCGCAAATCTCGTTTCGCATTTACATTCGGCGCGAGTAACGCGCGACTCGAATCGATAATGTGACATGGTCGGACGGCGCGCGAATGTCGCGACATTACGGGCATGTATGTATATATCCGAGAGAGTCGCGGCTAAAATTAGACCGCGTGCCGTGAAATTATCTGGTCGCTAGTACGTATCCGCGCTCACGTGCATTTACATAGGAATGGAACGGCGTAAGGAGCGCTTTATTTATGCCGCGACCGCACCGGTTCTCGTTCCCTCTCACGCGATCCTATTTTTCGAGGTGTCGCGGCACCCGGTTGCGTGGCTTTTCGGTTCTCTCCAATGACGCGTGGTCAGTTCGCCTTCTCCTATGTGACCGAGGGAGAGCTCGGTCGTCAACGCCCGAACAGCGTCGCCGGCAAAATCACCAAAATTTCTCGTCAAACTCGGGGAAACGCCGCGACGACGGCTTTCGAGTTTTAAATCTAAATTCTGCGTCTCTGCCGCTAGTCTGAAAACCGATTTAAAAGCCAAAAGTCGTCGTCGTCGTCGTCGTCGCCGCCATGACTTCTTCACGAGTTTTATGAAAAATTTTGAATGGTCTCGCTGCGGCGCTCTCGGGGAGTGTAGAATTTAAAAAAAAAAAAGAAAAAAACAGAAGAACCCACCGTCGCGATCACGTCCCAAGACTTCCCTTCTGTCGTTCAGAAGCGATTTCGAACGTTGTGTGTCTGCGCGGGCGAACGAGCGATCGATATCATCGCACTCCCGCGGCCATCCCGAATCCCCGTGTGCGCTTTCTGTGCCGACGACCGCGCGCGCATAATCGATACTTCGCTGTTCGAGCCGAAAAAAGCAAAAGCGGAAAAAAAAGTCGAAAAAAAGGTAGATCGTTTTATCGCCGCTACCTTTCGAGCACCATAGTCTACCACGATTGGCATGTACACCGGGATTCATAAATGTCTCATCATTCTTCCCCAGATCGACTCAGATAGACTTTCATAATTGTCACCACGTGAGACAATCGACGGATACTCTCTTCCTCTCTCTTTAAAATTTCTTTAATTATATTTATGAAGTAAATATACCGTGTATACTGAATTAATTATTAAATTTACATTTTCGTATAGTAAATTTTTGTTGTTGTGTTGATGCAGCAACAGATTTATTAAAAGTGTTACACACAGTTGCACGCGGAAAGTTGCGCTGTGTTACACGCAGAAAATGTTTAATAACTCTCGATCTGTGAAATGGTAAGGCATTTGTGAATTCCAGTGAGCACGTGTGTATTCTCCCGACGTCGTGGATCGTTAGTTGCCACGAACTCATACACATGCATCATTCACACACGCAGGCACGCACGCACGCACGCACGCACGCACGCACGCACGCACGCACGCACGCATGGTGTGACGGTTCCCGGATAGTACGCACACACGCACTCACGCACATTGCTAACTTCCCTTCCGTGTAATGCTGTTAATTTGCTATTGTAGCGATCGCGGCTAATGGTTTCCAGCGGGGACCAAGCTATCGACCGAATTTCGATGACGCCGTATTATCATCGGGCAACGCTGAATACGCGTTAATGAAGCGTGCATCCAGTTGTAACGAATAATATCTGACTCGGGCTAATTACGCGACGAGAAGTGCGAACGCTCCACAAAAACTCTTCTCGAGACCGAGGATCGCAAGTCCGGAAGAAAGGGAGTGTATTGGCGAAAGGGTGAAATAAGATCTGGCCAGTTCGTGAGCGGTCACATTGTTTTCCACAGCCTGCTACAGGAGATCATTCCCTAAACCTATTCTCTGAGTAAAATTCTGCTAGAAAAAATCAACTGACAGCCGAGTCTTTCGACTTTTTGCTCGTGTGAACTTTCCACTCTAAATCTTCGAGTGAATGCTCTCATTCAAAATTAAAGAGTGAATCTGATGTTAGTCTACTGGAATTGTGGCTTCTCTATAATCAGTTGAGACATTCACTTGGATCATGAATGCACTCTAAAGTTGAGTGAAACATTCAATCTTGTGATTCCAAGTGGCACTTAAATTCGTATCATCGCTTTGATTGATATGTTACAAGTTTTGAATGAAAAATTAAAAGAGCATCCACTATGTGTGTCATGAGAAATCGTGGAATAATAGATCTGTTCGTTTTCGAAGAACTAATGCACACCAGGACTTGGTTAGATGGCGTGCAAGTGGGTGGACGTGATGCTTGGTTAACGTGATGCGTGAGCTTGGAATGATTTTAGTGTATCAAGTTAAGTATAGGAAGCTAGATAGGGAAAATTATGTAGGAATAAATGTGTAGATAATATGTAAGTGAAAGTGAAATAAGGCGCTAGGTAGGAAAGCAAGATCCAGAGCAGAAAATGTGCATAAGTAATAGAGGTTATGGCCATAAGGAGGAACGGATAATTAGGGTAGCGTAGATATTGCAGGCAAGCTTAAATTAGTATGGTAATGTAGAGAAAACGTATAATATATGGTAATAGAAGACAGAAGTACACAAGGTACAGAGGAAAAAGAGGCTACAAGAAATGAAGAGGAAAAGTTTGATCATCGAATGAAA